GATATGCTCATATGTAACAAATGCAATAGATGTTAAGGCGTGTCTGCCCTGTGCTCAAAGACCAAAAGCTAAAAGCTTTCTGAAGGATCAGGAACAAGAGGTATATGTTCAACCTCCACATTTCCATGAACCTTCATAGTTGGTTATACAATTCCAAATGGTCAGCCATAAACATATGTACACATATGCATTGCTACATGAACTCAGTAACTATACAGATAGCTACATGATAGATACAGAGATAGATAGATAGATAGATAGATAGATAGATAGATAGATAGATATCAAAACCTCATGAAATCAACCACTGAACACACCCAGCAGAAACTGCCTGGCAAAGGTCCGTGTCAGGCGTCCAGCTGCCCTCCCCAGGAGAGAGCACCCACAGAGCAGTTCTCCCCTCGGGAACGTCCAAGCAAAGAAACAAACAACAGCCAGGGAGTCCCGCCATCCAATCCTGGGTTTTCGTGCTCAGAGAAGAAAGCAGGTGGGGACACCTCCCTGGGGAAACACCTGGGCTTGGTAAACCATTCGGGAGCCGTCAGAGGGTCCCTGTGGCCGAGTCCTCCAAGGTGACCTTTCTGTGTTCAGGGGGCAGGGGACGCCCCATGAGCAGAGCAGTGTTTGGAGGAGACGGTGAGACCGTCACTTTTGAGTCTGAAATGTGGGAAGACGCTCCTGAATCAGCAACAACTTCCCCACGTTATCACTGCTCATCACTCCTCAGGGAGCCATGTGGGAGCGAGAACACACTGACAGCACTGTGGGAAGTACTGTGCATATGAACAAAATTACCACGGGGACGAGGGTCCAACTCTCCTAGACTGAGGAACTCAGTCAATCGCATACCGATATTTGTGTTCTATTTTTTCATTTATTGATTATAATTCTGTTTTCGGGAGACTGAGTCACGTGTAGTTCACATTGGCTTTGGAGTAGACGACACGTCCCTTACACGTATGTCCCAAGCATTCGCATGACGGGATGCACTACGAAGCTCGCCTTCATAGTCAAACTCAGCACAGCTAAAATGATTAAACAGCCGATACCTCGAAATGTGATTAGACGTTCACACAAATATATAAGAGCTAAAAACGTCCTTTCTTCTTTTTTAAAAAACTATTATCATTTTTATTTTATGTGTATGACTGTATTGCCTACATGCGTGTAAGTGCACCTGTGTCGTGCAATGCCCACGGAGGTCAGAAGAGGGTGTCGGATCCCCTGGGACAGGAGTCGTAGCCGGTTGTTAGCCGTCTTGCGGGTGCTGGGAACGGAACCTAGGTCCTCCACAAGAGCAGCTAGTAATCTTAACGGCTCCAGTACAAACGTCCTTTCTTCTTTTTTAAAAAACTATTATCAGTGTTAGTTTATGTGTATGACTGTATTGCCTGCATGCGTGTAAGTGCACCTGTGTCGTGCAATGCCCACGGAGGTCAGAAGAGGGTGTCGGATCCCCTGGGACAGGAGTCGTAGCCGGTTGTTAGCCGTCTTGCGGGTGCTGGGAACGGAACCTGGGTCCTCCACAAGAGCAGCCAGTAATCTTAACGGCTCCAGTCCAAACGTCCTTTCTTCTTAAGTGTTGAGAATGCAATCCGAGCTCTTCAACCCATGAGGCCAGCACCCTGACACTGAGCCGCACAGCCAGGCCAAGTGGTCCTTGGCTTTTTTAAAGTCATAAACATGAATCTAAAGTGTGGTTGGAGATGCCGATCCTCATACTGTAGGTCACGGGCGATTGCTGGGTGAACAGTCGTGTGAATTGTCAGTGTTTCTGTCTTACTTCTTCTGTCTCCTGCTGTCTGTACTGACTCGAACCTTCTTAGCAAGCAACCACGGGGCGAATGCGGAGTCATGTCCATGATCATTCATGGAAGGCTTACTATCGAATCTCCAAAATCAGCAACATTTTAGAGACAGGTAGAAACCGTGTGATTTCAATGGACATAAAGTAAGCCAGAATTTCATGTATCTAAAAAGGAAGAAGAAAAAAACTCGCACTGTACCCTACAACACACAACAGCACGACCTTTAAGTCCTCATAAATGCCGATCAGCGTATCAAGTTTGTTTGCTATTTTTATTTTTATTCAATTTTTCTGAAATTGTTACAAATCTCACGCAATATACTTTGAACATATTTAGATCCCCCCCATAATTGCACACCCCTTACTAATCCCCATCAAATTTCTGTACTTTAATATGTGTGTGTACATGTGTGCGTGTTAAGCCCCATAGAGTCACGTATGCGCCCATTTCCCTGTTTGTCCACCGGAGCCTGGTCAACCTACTAAGAGTCACACCCTTAAATGAGACCGACTCACCCCCTCCCAGCTGTCATCTGTTGCCAAAAGCACTTGCCTAGCATGGAGCCCTGAACTCCATCCTGAGTACCACATGTAACAGGTGTGGTCATGACTGAATCTGACCCCGGCACTCATCAGGCGGAGGCAGAAGGATCAGTAGTTCACGGTCGTGTGACGGGAATGCTCAGAAATGCAGCAGGTGTCCCACGGCACACAGAAAGGCCGTCACCACTCCAGCAGACATTTATCCAAACCCAAGGCCGTAATTGATTTTTTTTAATGTCATAATACTATAACAAAGGCACCGTAAGCTATGTACAAAAGGACTATTAACTTGAAAATATATCTTATTGTGAGCACTTGACACGTGTTCTAACTCTCGTGGTTTCTGCCATCCCGAGACGGGGCTCTAATAACAAACGATAAAAAATGTCTGTTGCTTTGTTTTTAAGGAAAGGGGGGAAATGCAAATTCTTCAGAATCCCAGGAAGAAAAGGAGATAAAAACGTTTACGAGGCATCATGTGAGTAAGAATTGCTGCTGTTCTGGTCTTAACTGTATTTCTGTATGTCTAAACATGTAGGTTCTAATGCAGCTTTTATTAGAAATTAGACATGCAGTCTTAGAAGAGCTACTTAAATCCCCACCTATACTTTTTAGGTACAGTAACAGGATACTTTTTTAGTAATTTATTATGTTTATTTTATGTGCATGACTCCGTGGCCTGCACGTGTGTAACAGCAACCCTGTCATGCAGTGCTGAGGAGGTCAGAGGAGGGTGTTGCATTGCCTGGAACTGGAGTTACAGACGGTCGTTGGTCGGCACGTCACGTGGGTGCCGGGAATCGAACCCGGGTCCTCTGCAAGAGCAGCCAGTGCTCTTAACCCCTGAGCCATCTCTCCAGCACTGAGAATACTTTTAAAATTTGAAACAAGGGTCCTCTGCAAGAGCAGTCAGTGCTCTTAACCCATGAGCCATCTCTCCAGCACTGAGAATACTTTTAAAATTTGAAACAAAAAAGGTTTTGCACTTATTTATTTATATTTATTTATTGTGTGTGTGTGCATGTGTATGTGTGTGTCTGTGCATATGGAAATCAAACTCAAGTCATCAGACTTGCTGGCACGCACTGTGTTTAAAATTCTGACAGGAATATGGCCTGGCCATGGCTACTTACAGTCTAACTTAAAATACGTGGCGATCCTTTTATCATGGCGTCTTTGCTGTTTCATGGCAAAGTAAAGTGATCCTTATCTCCAATTCCATTTTAAAGGCTCCATTCACCCCAAATACAGTCAAAACCAAAACACCAAACATCCCACCAGCCCCATTTGGGTTTATGAATCAGTTTATCGGAATTATTGATAAGAGCACAGACGGCTTACGAGATTGCTAAAATATCCTAAGCCCTACTCCTTCTCAGCCTGTCGCTCACTAAAACCTTTTAAATGTGCTTTTGTTTTATGAGCGGTTCACCTGCGTGTATGTAAGTGTGGCGTGTGTTTGCAATGCCCACAGAGGCCAGAAGAGGGCGTCAGAGCTCCTGGAACTGGAGCCACAGGCAGTTGTCTCAACCTCTTCTGTACTTCAGCATTTGTTATAAAATTACAGACACGATAAGCAAGAGAGAGGTGATCATATCTCAGAGGCCAGCCTGGCGAGGGTCCTGGGACCGTCACTTCGTCTTCTGCAAGAAAAACATATTAGCAGGCCCATTACAGCAAATCCACCTTTTTCCTGTTCAGTTGTTGACCTGTCATCATGACCGCTGGGCCAAGTCTCCTGTAGGTCCAGCTTAGGGAGACCCTGAGTTTCTTGGAGCTACTTACAGGAGGGCGACTGACGGGTGACTTATAGGAGGATGGGCCCCTCGAAAACCCAGGTGACAAGTCGTGAGAGCTGCGCACGTGGAACTGTGTGTGCCACCCGCAGGCAGCAGGGGGTCGTCGGACAGTGTCCTCCCCCAGCAGTTGTACGCTGCCTTGGCACGGGGCCTCGAGAGTCTCATTAGTTATTGAATTCTCGAATCTCATCCGGGTCCCTCTTCCCTCCATGAGGGAATGTTTCAGTCCGGAGAGAACTTCTAGGTGACAGGCCCTCTTTATGGTCTTTTCCTATTCCTCACTTGAGGGAGACCTGGTAGGGTTCGGTATTTCCACCACGAAGTTAGATGGGAGGCGTACACATTTTCCTTTTGTTATACAGCTCTGTTGAGCACATACAGGCGCATGGCAAGACTCCACCATCCACATAACTACGCACCCCGACATTAGGAACATTGGAATTCCAAGTCAGTATCCATCCCAGCACTGTGTGGGCACCTGCAGAAAACCGATATCGTTCCTATTTTAAGGAGGGAGTACAAACTCACTTTCCTGATCCGTGGTCTTTCTCTTCACACACTGTACGTAGAGGTAGGAATATTAGTGAGGCAAGAATTACGCTTCATGTCAGTGTCAACAAGCGTTTACTAAACATGGGACCTGCGCAGTCACCTTTGCAAAGTTCGCTGCATCAAATCCACACTTTTTTTTTCATGTATCTCAGTTGAAGGAAAAAATCGTTTCATGATAAAGCTGGTGACTAAGAAGATGTTGCTGTTTTATTACTACAACGAACAGAACAGCAACGTTGGACGTGTTGTCGGAGCTCTCGGTAAGCGTTGCGTGGAATAAAGTGCGAAGTTTATTGTGTGTGTGTGTGTGTGTGTGTGTGTGTGTGTCATTCGAGGGAGATGGGTGTCTGTGCATTATCTTACAGAACAGCAATATTGGACGTGTTGTCGGAGCTCTCGGTAAGCATTGGGTGGAATAAAGTGCGAAGCTTATTTTGTGTGTGTTCATTCGAGGGAGATGGGTGTCTGTGCATTATCTTACAGAACAGCAATATTGGACGTGTTGTCGGAGCTCTCGGTAAGCGTTGCGTGGAATAAAGTGCGAAGCTTATTGTGTGTGTGTGTGTGTGTGTGTGTGTGTGTGTGTGTGATTCGAGGGAGATGGGTGTCTGTGAGCTATCTTCCACTGAGTTCATGGGTGCCAGAGTCTGCTCGGGAATGAGATTGAAGTCTTCATCTTCGTGGGTCAGCGATAGTGTGACGGTTGTTTTTGATTATGAAGTTGACACAATCTCCAGTCAGCTGGAGTCTCGTGGAGGGACCGGCTGTATCAGGCCGTCCTGTGGGCCTGTCTGTGTGGACTGCCTTAGTAACTTAACGTAAGGAACCCCGCTGCGTGCAGTGTGAGCGGCACCGTTGCCTAGGCCTCAGGTTAACTGTCAGCTTGACACAGCCTAGAGTCACCTGAAAACAGTGTCCATGAGGGATGGCCTACACCAGGTCGCCCTCTGACCCCGTCTGCAAAGGCAGTCGTGACTTGCTGGGACAGAAGACGTTCTTTATGATTAGTTCAAATCAGTTGGCTCTGTCCTATGATGACGAGTCCAGAATCCCAAGGCGCGCATTCTAGAACGCAAATACAGGCAAAGTAAGAAGTTGGAAGGGAGGCGGTGATCAGTCAGCCACAGCCTTTCTCATTTTTGGATGTTTTGGAAGCTGTATGAACCTTAGGGGCACTTGAGAACACAAGAAATTCTTAATTCCCTAAGAATCAAAAACTGATGGAAACTGATTTCACAGCCATGGTCTGGCCCTATATTTTCATATCACATGTGGACACGGGTAAACATCATCCGTCGGCCCCCAGACAGAGAGGCAGTGTTGTGACATGTCCCGTCCGGTAGGCTCACGTCCGGTAGGTCCTCTGTAAGCGTGCTGCGTCCTGACTGTCGTGTCTTCTCACATCCCAGCCAGAGCCAAACAGCTGACTGAGAAGCAGATGGAAAAATACATGGACTTAGTTGCAGAAATCGGCATCGAAGATGAAAACGTCCAACGTGTCGTCGACACAGGTAAAGTCACCACACGACATGGTGCGACACCGGCATTTACCTGACGGGTTCTGGTGATGACTACATGGGCTGTGCAAGCACCGGGGCTCGAGGTTTCCGGTACCCAGGTTTTTAAACAAAAAAAGTCAGAAATTCGAGTTCCCAGAGGGGGAGATGGCAGAAGCCCTCGCAATCGCCGGCTGGCTAATCTTTCTGAATTTCCAAGTTCCAGGTTGGGCGAGCCCTCTATCCAAACAGTAGGGTGGGGAGGGATTCACAAAGGCACTGGGATGTTCACCTCGGACTTCCACGTGTGTGGGGTGCACCTGTACACACAAACACACAGAGAAAAGAAAAACACGGGATCACCCACTCGACCACATGCACACATATAAACCGCACACACACAAGCACACACAACATTTATCTGCACTGAAAGCAGCTTTCTAAGGTCAGAAGTTCTATTCAAATTCTTGCGTTGTGTCTGAGGGCAAATGAAAATTCCTCACCGGTTGTAATAAACTACAAGGATCTCATTTTGTACCTTTACTGTCTTCCAGACACCTGTCCTCCATAAAGACGATACTTGGGTGAGTTGAATCGTGATCGTTTTATCTCCTGATATCTAATCAATTTGGGTTTTTTTTAGATAATACTTTATTTTGTGAAAATTTAGTATTTGTGTACAGCGTGTCTTGATGTTATCTGAACCCCCAGAACATTCAACTCCCCTAGGGACCCGAGAACACGCCTCCCTCTCAAGTTCACACAGTCCGTGACCGTGTGCAGACAGGCGTGGGATCTCCCAGCGGAGTGTGGACAGAGTAAATAACAGGGCCATCCCCCCAGAAAACTGGCTGTCGCTCTCTCAGCAGCCATCCAATGCCAGTATCTCCTCAGCTAGGCGTAGAACCCGAGGAATCTTTTGTCGGAGGCCTGCAACCCACAGCTGCTGTGACACGTTCCGGTGTGCAGTGGCCGTGTCAGGTCCCGAGGACAGCATCTCCCAGCTCTCCTCCCGCATCCTCTGGCTCTCACGGTTTCTCCTCACTCTTCTGAAATGTTCCCTGGCTCTTGGGAGACCAGAGGTTCCTGTAGACAAACCATTTACAACTGAGCAAAAGTTTGAGCAGTTATAGGTCCGGACTAAGCATTAAAAAAAGGAAAAAAAAGTTTCTCAGACCAAGATTGAAATCAACACCGGTTTATGAGTGTAAATATAAATATTAAGAAGGTAGTGTGGGGACAGAGCAATTCACGGAAACAGCACCAGGTTGTCCCCCACCCCGAGCCCACCGTCTCCGCAGTCGGTTTTGTCTAGGCTGACAGTACCAGACGTGGGATCCTCCGTTGACTCTCCCTTGTAGAGAGGTGTCGTGGTTGCAGGAGCCTAGACTGTCATGAAATGACCTACGTCTTCCAGTAGCAAAGTTGCTACATGTATGTGAACTCTTCCTTATGCATCATACTATCAATGTTATCTGACAAACTCTTGCATCTGCATCGAGCTTTGTCGGACACCCCCGGCTGCGTCTCCCCCACCCCCACCTCCCGCTCTCTCGTCTCCCCGTTCCGTGATTACACCCTGGATGGGTCCTTGCCCAGTGGCCTGTTTCATAATTTCATTCTTCTTCACGGCCTAGCAATATTCCATTTACTTTCCCGTCAGATGATGGACGTCTAGGCTGTTTCCGTAGGCTCTCCAGAGTCATCCCTCGCTTGGTGCTGGGGGGTTACGGGTTCTAATTTTCCTGAAGAAAAATGCCGTGCCATAGGTAGGTTTGGTGCAGAACGTGACGCACGCTGGGACGTTGGGGTAAGCAGCCGTGACACCGTGAGGGCTGGGCTCGTAGGTGCAGCAGGT